GATGCTTGCCATAGATGCAGGCAAAACGTCAGGAGAGAATGCCTCTAGAACATGGTCATATAGCCCAAAAAACCCTACAACAACCCAGTGATTCCAGCCATGAAAGCCTTCGACAATACGTTTAACATAAATAATCTACCAGGAAATGTGGGCAGTATTTGCTCCAAAACAAGGCCAGACTGAATAGGATTTCATCCAAATAAGTGTCATGAACCAAAAAAAAAAAATGCACAGAGCTGTAAAATTTGGATACTGGAAGGTACAACAGCTTACCTTTGCCAGATATCATTCCCAGTATCTTATTTACCTGGGTTTTTAAAAAAATCTTATATCTGCAGGCTCTTAAACAAGAAATACCAATATTGAAAGTTCAAATCAAGCAACGTATTAAAATCAAGTCGGCTAAAGAAGTATGCTGTGAAAACTTCGCCAAAGGATTAACTGGCCAAGTACCACAAAGCATCCTTGTAGCCCTTTCCACACAGCTATATAAAATCCACATTGACCTGGATTATCTGGCAGTGTGGACTCAGATAATCCAGTTCAAAGCAGATATTGTGGCTTATCTACCTTGATTTTCTGGGTTATATGGCTATGTGGAAGGGCCCTGACTTTCTCAGTATTTGGATACAGATTTAATGAAATCTGGTAGAAGTTAGGTTTGGGGCACCATTATCAAAGTGCTTATGAAACATAGTTGCTCCTGCGTTGTTATAGGTTTTCTGGGCTATATGGCCATGTTCTAGAGGCATTTTCTCCTGACGTTTCGCCTGCATCTATGGCAAGCATCCTCACTACCTCTGAGGATGCTTGCCATAGATGCAGGCGAAACGTCAGGAGAAAATGCCTCTAGAACATAGCCATATAGCCCGAAAAACCTACAACAACCCAGTGATTCTGGCCATGAAAACCTTCGACAATACATAGTTGCTCCTACTAGTGTGTTTGAGTTGTGGGGGCAATAAAGTTTATATGCCAATTATATCAAAGAAGGAACAGGGATATGAAATATGCTTCTAACAAAAATGTGCTGCAATGCACTAAAACTTTAGAAGTATTGTTTTAATAATGTGAGATCTTCAGTAGAGTAGAAAACAAATAAAAAAACCCTTTCCCCCTTGAGGAACTGTGTAAAATCCTTAATGTCTGGATTTGAGTAGCAGGTTATTATTCATTTCCATCATTTTGCCAAATATTTGTGTAAGCTAAGAAGATGGTAAAATTCCTTTGCAGAGTGTAATGGTTGGGAATGCCAAGCCTGTAGCAGTAGTTAAAATTCACAAATACATTTTTTATAAACTATGCCGTGCTATAAATGTTTAGCCTTAGGGTATCTCCAACAAATGACAGCCCAGACTTCATAGTACCTGAATTACAATTTTCCTCAACGATTCCCACCCACAACTTTGAATGAAAGGCATAAACTACAATGGTACACAGAAAACAGCATCACAAATAGCTCTAGTGATACAAAGATTTTTTTTTCTTTTATGGGTGAAGGTTTGTTTGTTTTTTTTTGTTGTGTCAGGAGCGACTTGAGAAACAGCAAGTTGCTTCTGGTGTGAGAGAATTGGTAGTCTGCAAGGGCGTTGCCCAGGGAACGCCCAGATGATTTTTGATATTTTTATCATCCTTGTGGGAGGCTTCTCTCATGTCCCCGCATGAGGAGCTGGAGCTGATAGAGGGAGCTCATCCGCCTCTCCCCAGATTCGAACCCGCTACCTGTCGGTCTTAAGTCCTGCCGGCACAGGGGTTTAACCCACTGCGCCACCGGGGGCTCCTTATGGGTGAAGGTGATTTACTTTCCATCAGAAAAAAAAAGCTTCTCCACATCTCACAGTGAATATTCAGCTTTCATGATCATGGAAAATGATGGTTTAATAACGACCAATGTGAGCTTCAGTTATGACCCTCAGAGCAATGGGTTCAAATTACAGAAAAGGATATCTCACCTGGACATTTGGCTCAATGCTATGGCAGAAGTAGTAGTAATTTTATTGATTAGCCCTTAGGCCATATCACAATAAGAAACAGAACAACAAGGCCTGACAAGACCTGATCACACTCCACGTAGTAAATTAAAATAAGACACTTATAACAATACAGTAAATAAATATGATAAGACATGATAAAACTGATAAACTGATCAAGCTGAGTATATACATCATATTTCATTATCACCCCTACAATTTACCCCAATCAGCCCTACATATGTGGTTCTCAGATGTATTGTTTTGCTTAAGTACAGAGCTGTTTTATATGTTATTTTTGGGTCTTGGCCACACATAAAATATGTTGTTCTGATGTGAGATTCCCAATACATTGTCCGTTTGATATATGGACCAAGGTGGAAGTCTCTCACCTTTTGATACAATTTGCAATCAAATAATATGTGTGCTATATCCTCAATTTCAATGCTATGGAATCATGGGATTTGTAGTTTTATGAATTACTAGCCCTCTTTAGCACAGAAGGCTATAGACCTTGTAAACTTACAACACCAGGATGCTGTAGCATTGAGCTACGGCAGTTAAAGTGGCACGAAACTGCATTAATTCTATATTGTAGATGCACTCATAAATGTTTCAGACACAAAATTGAAACATCTTCTTTAAAAAAAAATACTTCCTAGTCACAATGCTTTTGGGCAGGAAGAATATTTTACCTATCAGAATTGTTCCAGTAATGAATTTTGTGTTTCAGTGGGAGGCTGCTAATATTAGTTCCCCAACAAGAATGGGTTGACCATATTGTTAATGGTGAGTTTCTCCAACACTTCCTCTCTGACTGCCTGATAGAACAGAGGACAAAGTACTACTCCCCGCTAAAAGGAATATTTCCCAGGAACTATAATAGAAAAGAGAAAATAATACTTGAACACATTTGATAAATGGTTAAAATGTGTTTCTTAAATGATAGCATGTGTGAACTTTGCACAAAATAAGACCTGAGCTTTCAAAATAGTTTCCAGGTCAACATTCTTCTGATGAGAAGAAGCCTGTGTCTGCAAGGATCTTGCCCAGGGGATGCCCGGATGTTTTGATGGCAAAACTACGGTGAGGTGCATCAGTAATTGGTTAAATGGATGAACTCAGAGGGTGCTCACCAATGCTTCCTCTTCATCCTGGAAAGAAGTGACGAGCGGAGTGCCGCAGGGTTCCGTCCTGGTCCTGTTCAACATCTTTATTAATGACTTAGATGAAGGGCTAGAAGGCAGGATCATCAAGTTTGCAGATGACACCAAATTGGGAGGGATAGCCAATACTCCAGAGGACAGGAGCAGAATTCAAAACGATCTTGACAGATTAGAGAGATGGGCCAAAACTAACAAAATGAAGTTCAACAGTGACAAATGCAAGATACTCCACTTAGGCAGAAAAAACGAAATGCAAAGATACAGAATGGGGGACAATGCCTGGCTCGAGAGCAGTACATGTGAAAAAGATCTTGGAGTCCTCATGGACAACAAGTTAAACATGAGCCAACAATGTGATGTGGTGGCAAAAAAAGCCAATGAGATTTTGGCCTGCATCAATAGGAGCATAGTGTTTAGATCTAGGGAAGTAATGCTACCCCTCTATTCGGCTTTGGTTAGACCACACCTGGAATATTGTGTCCAATTTTGGGCACCACAATTCAAGAGAGAT